CACATGAACAAGAACTATCTTTCTTACCATATATGGAAGTGCTCTGAGTAGAGTGCAGGCTGTCTCCAAAAGTACGGTCAATTAAAAGCAGCAGAGCAAATGGGAAGTGAGGTTTTTTTGCTCTTCCCACTTGCCCAGCTGTTGAAGGAAGATGATATACTGTTAATCTGTACTGCCTAGCTCAAAAAGCCTTTGAAATATTTATTGTTGCTTTGCCTCGGAGACTGCACACTTTTTTCCAAGCAGATGGATAAAAGACCTGCAATCCTTTTTGGTATGCGCGATAGCTACATGGGAGGCTCAATCATGTTTGCATGGCATTTCATTTTGTGGGAACAAGCCTCTAAAAATAGATGCAATCCATCAGTGTAATCCTTCCAGAATTTCCAGTTTTCAGTGCAATTTCTCGGAGGCGCCTTGTCACTTCGATACAAGCACCTCATCTGTAATCATCAGGTCTAGCTCTGAAGATGTGCAAAGCACTTGTAATCCTAAAAAGTTTTTTTTTTTTGTGTTCTTTTTTTAACGGTGTGCCCTCACATGATTACACTTATTGAATTATTGTGGCTTATGTTTTGATTTTGAAGACATTTGATGCTTGCTAAGTAATGCTCTGATCAGCCTACTTTAAAGGCTTAGATATCATTTTTCAGTGTTTTTGTCAATTGTAGTGTTTTAATGACGATAATGGGACTGTAGAACTCAAAGTGTGTCTCGTTTCTGTGTCTTCGTTTGTGGTGTGTTTAGGTGCAGACTGACATCAGTGTGGACACCAAGCAGCAGACTCTGCAGGGAGTGGCTTTCCCTATTCATAAAGATGCCATCGCAGCACTTGAACGTTTCAGGGACAAGAAAATCAACTACGTACAACTGGTGAGTTATTAGCTGGGGTTATTAGCCTCTACATGGCCAAGTGTCAGCATACCTGTCACAGCACTACATCTGGGCATTTTTACATGCCATGGGATTACAAAGTATTGTAAGGCCAGCCACATACTCCTGGTGTCTGCAGCTTTCTGCATACACGTCTGCAAGGCTGTATCCTGGTCTAAATGACCGTAATTAGCTCAGCACTGACATATTCATATTCAATAATTTGAATGTGCAGTTGGAGTTTTTACCTTGTGTTTGGAAAGATGCAGATTGTTTTGGCGAGGAGACCTTTCTAGTTTGACACAATGAGTTACTCAGTTTGTCCAAAAAGCCTTTGTGTAAATTCTGCTCATTGAAATTCTGACGGTTTGTGTCACAAGATCAGATGAGTCCAGTACAAAGGAATAATTGTAGCACTGTTGTGGTTGTGCATCAGATTTCCTTTTCATGAGTCTAAAAGCTTAGTTAAAGTGAATTTCTTTCTTTTGTGGGTTCTATTCATCCTTACTAGTTTTACTCCTGGCTGCTGAGGATCACATTAGCATGTAGAGTAAAGGGAGCTGTTTGGTATTTACTGGCACCACCTAGATTTTTCACATTGTCTGGTAACCAAAGCAGGGAGCTTGTAGTTACAGGAGCACTCGGCTTGCTTAAAGGGTAACTTTTTGCTTCTTTTGTCAAAAAAGAAATTAGATGCTGAACAGGAGCTCATTCGGTTGTGCGGCACTGAGCCAACGGAGCTGAAAGATCTCCCAATGAGAATCCCTAAAGATACTCCACGTTACCACTTCTTCCTCTACAAACATTCCCATGAGGGCGACTACTTAGAGTCCACAGGTAAATGATTTCCCACGGGTTATTACGAACAGCAGGAAAAAACAAACAAACACTGTATTTTGTGCAGGTTTCTGTGTTGTTCTGCTCTGAATGGTGCTTCACGTGATTCCCATCTCACTATCCTTTCCTTCTTTCTTTGTAGTCTTCATTTATTCTATGCCAGGGTACAAGTGTAGCATCAAAGAGAGGATGCTGTATTCCAGCTGCAAAAATCCCTTGGTCGACATGGTGGAAAACAATCTCCAGATTGAGATTGAGAAAAAAGTAAGACACTGTGTTTTGTGATATACTAGGGCTGTGCGATATGACCAAAATCTCATATCCCGATATAAGAATTCTATCGTCCCGAATCCCGATAACGATATAAATCGCAAAAATTTTCTGTAAATTCTGTGAATCTTGGGCAGCTCGACTTGTGTGAAGTGTTTCCAGCTGCGTGTCATGTATCTGGAGTCGAGTGTTTTAACCGATGCATGAAACTATACAGTTTTAGACATAAGTTGTAACGGCCGCCGTTTTCTTTGTGAGTATTTATTACACGGCGTGCTGCGGGGGAAAGCCTTTTCTAACGTTTGAGTCTAAGGTTTATTTTTTAGCACCTGGCGGCTCTTTTTTACTTCTCATCCGTAAATAATCTGCTCTTTCACTTGATTCAGTTTATTCTGAAAAGTCTCAACAGGATCTTGAGCTTTATTGTGGAAGGTTTATGTGGAACATAAACAAGCGGACACGCGAAGGTGTTGCTGTCGCTGTTGCTAACGACAACGCATAAAAACAGGCGCTTGTCCTTCCATAGTGTGGTTATATTACATATAAGAGAAAGAGAGAACTTTAAGAAATTAATATAACCACTACAGTGACCATCAAAACGATGAAAAAATATTGTCGTAAACAGTTTATTTTGCGACACCACGAAACAAACGATAGCGTAAAATGAAACTATAGACGTTTTTATATCGTCATCTGATATATATCGTTATATCGAACAGCCCTATGATATACTATAATAATCAAATGTCTTATGTAAAATAAATATCATTTATTTACATAAGAGATTTCCTGATAACAAAAGTATTTGTGTACTGTGTTTCATACAGAGTTTAAAATGGTTTTGGTGGCTGATATGACTGATTACAAATGTAAACCTTATTCTACATGTATTGCTTAAACAAGACTGAAAACCTACAGAGTGTTATTATTGATTCTACAGTAAATCTCCAGGCATTTACAGGAAGGGTGGAGCGCCATGCTTCCAAAGCATATTTTCCTCATAAGGTGTTTTGATGATGGTGGTGAAGGGCACTCTACCCATAATTTACTCCACATTGCATTACACATCATATTGCCAATGCTTTTAATGTATTAATACAGCTTATGTAGGGGAGAGAAGTGTGTCATGATTTATGAGATAAATCGGCATCAATTTGCAAATTCTGAACGTGACAGTCAACAAAAACGTTCAGACATTTTTCATAGTTTTTTTTTTTTTTTCATTTAAATTGAGTTTTTCTCAAAAAAAATTTTTTTTAACACAATTCAGTGGGCTACATACTGAACTGAGAGGAAAGGATGGAGACAAAGCATTAATAATTAAATAATTAAATAAAATTAAATAATTTCCCCCAGGGATCAATAAAGTATTCTGATTCTGAATAATATGGCACTAATATTGATCTGACACCAATACCAGCGTTTGCATTGATACTATCTATATTTGGATCGATTCGAGCACATGCGCTGTATTTTAAACAGCACACATGTCATGGAAAACACTGCACAGGCTCAGGAACACTTCCAGAATTTACTGTCTGTTCAGATTAAACATCCGTCATGCAAATAAAAGCCATGTTGTCATCTTAGAACTCATTTGTAGTGACCCTTTCTAATGGGCCTCAAACAGCATGCTCAATGTTGGGCACAGGGGTGAATGTTTTTCCTTTAATCTGTCACACAATGCACCAGTGGTCCAGCTCATCTTTTTAATGCACTTTTTAAATATTTCTGTTTCCCAGTTGGAAATAGAAAACGGAGAAGAACTGACAAGTGATTTCTTGTACGAGGAGGTGCATCCCAAGCAGCACGCACACAAGCAGCGCTTTGCCAAGCCCAAAGGCCCCGCTGGTAAGAAGGGCGGCCGCCGCATCACCCGACCACCGGGGGAGAGAGAGGAGGAAGATTAAACAGACCTCACCGCCCGACCACCACCTCTACCCCGAGCACGGTCCACAGAGGAACATTCCTGCTTTGGGGAGGGGAAGGCAGGAGGGAGGGGGGGTTAATCATTTTCGACACGCTTGTTTAAAATAATAAGACAAAAACCTCAAATTCCCACAGAGTTCACCCACAGACCCAGCTATGCACGCCAAGGACAACTGAGCAATGACACACTTCAGAATGTCCATTTGTAGCTTGCCAAATGGAAGTACATTCATGTAGGTTAGTACATTCATAAAAACCCTTTTACTATAATTCAGAGAGGCCCAAACCAAGTCAAAGATGAGGTTGTTTTTTTTTAATTTTCACATCGTTGCCAGCTCTGAGACTTCAAAAATGTTAGTGTAACTAATGTGAACTTGCGCCGATGTGATGAAAAGACCCCATTTTGTGTTCACGTGTTCAAATTCCTAACTTCCATTCCTCCTCGTGTCAATTAATGTTTCTGTGTCTAATGTGTTGATTATTTGTCTCCTACTGTTTGCACAATGAGGTGCTCCAAAGCAGAAAAAAAAAATTCTCAAACTTGTGTCTGATTCATTTTATATTGGGGGAAAAAAAAAAAAAGACTTCTTTTTTGATATAACTGTGGTTTACATGAAAAAAATCATCTGCTGAGATACTTATTTTTCTATGCAAGTGCTGTAAATGTACATATTGTAGCTGTGTGATGCTCTTTGATTAAGAAACAGTCTGGTCTGTTGAGGTAGATGTCCACGTCGGTAAGGATCACAGTGAAAGAACTGGGGCTTCCAGAAATATTACATCCACACATTTCAGATTTCACAAGGAAGGAAGCTTTTCCAGCTTTTCTGGTTCCCATAATGACAGGGAATGCCACGCTACTGGATGGGAAAGGGAATAATATAATTACCTTGATCAAAATGTTGCCACATCCACTGATGTACTGATTAATATTAGGCAAACTACTTCGCTCACCTCATGTTTGAAGGGAATATCCCTTTATGTTCATACAGTGTCATTATAATAGAAAAATCATGTTTGGTCTTATGTTTTCTTATAATTCTTTTAAAGAAGAAAAATAAAATATTTAAATCACTTTCTTTCACTTCTTTAATTGTTCGTAATAAATACATTTAACACTGGGAAGAACAACCAATCAGCATTCTGAAAGAGTTCGGCCATTAGATTTGTTTAAAGGCCGCACAGAAATGTATTCAGCAGTATTTTTACAGCAATTACACAGGTAAGCTACATGCCTTTAAAAAAAACAGTGCAGTAATTCTTCTGTCAGTCTGCAGTTTGAAGCAAGCTCACAATTCCCACGATGCTTTGCTTCACGCCTTTCTATCAAGATCCAGTGCAATGTTTTTGACGACTCCGTGAATCTCCGCGTAAACCTGTTCAGACACACAACAATCATGACTACATCATGAAGTTAGCATATATATATATATATCGTAGCAACAATATGACATTTTCCTTTAGTTCAACAAGACAAGAGTGCAGCCTCCGTTCTCTTACTGCCTGCATTTGCTCCCTAAATCCCCTAAATAATATGTTTGTTATTACATAGACTCCCCATACACTTTATTAGGTACACCTTGCTATATCAAGTTGGGCCCCTTTTGCCTTTAGAACTGCTTTAATTCGTTGCAGCACAGATTGAACACAGTGTTGGAAAATTCCTCAGAGATTTTGGTTAATATAGCGTCACACAGATTTGTCAGGATGTGGCAGAAAGGGACATTTGCATCATGCATTCATGATGCAAATGTCCCTTTCTATCACGTCCCAAACATGCTCTATTAAGGCTAAGATCTGGTGACTGTGGAGGCCATTCAATTACAGTGAACTCGTCATGTTCAGGAAACCAGTTTGAGACGATCTGAGCTTTGTGACATGGTGTGTTACCTTCCTTTCATGCCGTTTTTGCCAAATTCTGATCCTATCATCTAAATGTCATAGAAGAAATCAAGACTTATTGGCCTGGGCAATGTTTTTCCAATGTTCTGTTGTCTGAGTGAACTGTGGCCTCGGCTTTCTGCTGCTCATCCCATCTGCTTTAAGGTTCAACATGTTGTGCATTCAGAGATGCTCTGCTGCATACCTTGTTAAGATAACGAGTACTGTTGACTTCCTATCAGCTTTAAACGGTCTGCCCATTTTCCTTTGATCTCTGGCATTTTCCCCCTCAAAACTGCCACTCACTGGAAATGGTTATGTGCTACTTACACAGCATCAAATCGCAACAAAAGTCACCTCGAGGTGCTTAAATGACCACAGCCACGCCTATTCGGCAGTCAGTTGCTGCTATGTGATTGGCTGTTTAGATATTAGTGTTAATAAGCAGTTAAACAGGTGAATGTGTTTTTGCTAATAAATGCCATTAAAAAAAAACCCAAACAATGACCCGACTCAGTTGTTAATGATCCTCTTTTCAAAAACTAAAAAAAAAAAAAAAAAAAAATCCCTTTGTGGGATTTCTTCATTCAGCCTGGTCCAGCAGAGGCACATAACACAGGCAAACAGCTCAAGGTGAAAAGCTGTGCAGATGCCAACACAGTAGCTTGACCTATACATTAAATCTGCTGGGATCGTTCCTGTACCTGTCTGATGACAGGCCGTCTGTTTTTCCTCTCATGGAGGCAGTTGCATGCCAAGGAGTAAATACTCTCCACCTGGCTCAGCTCCCAGGCTTTCATCTTTTTGTCCACAAAATCCTCCAGAGTCAGCTCCTCATCTTCATCATCTATGTCATACCTCATCTCCATCTAGGAAATGAAGTAGGGAACAC